AGGAAAGGTTGGACACTGGGGCTGGAGCAGCCTGGGATAGGGGAAGGTGTCCCAGGTGGCCCTGGATGATCCTTAATCTCCTTCCCATCCATTCCATGATCCCAAACACTGCCTCTAGCAGCCACATTCCCACCTTCCCCACCCAATCCCAAATCCCAGAACCTACCAGTCAGCCTTTTTCAAGCAGTCCACGCTCGCCCCTCTCTCCAGAAGGAAGGACACACACTCCTGGTGTCCCATGGAAACAGCCTCATGGATGGGTCTCTTGTAGTCCCCATTGGCCACCTCCGTGTCCATCCCCATCTCCCGGACCAGGAATTCCAGCACATCCCGGTGTCCCAGGCGAGCTGCGTGGTGCAGCAGGGAATCTCCCAAACGTCCCCAGCGCCAGCTGCGAGCCTCTGGGATCTCCTCCAGCCTCAGCTCATCCCGGAGCACATCCACATTTCCCTCCTGGACCAGCCTCAGGAGCCGCCGCGGCCGGTCCTGCTCTGCCATGGGGCTGGGCCTGAGGGAAAAGAAGCAAAAAAATTGAGATTTCGGGGGATATTGTGGTTGGTTTAAGGGCTTAAGATATGTAGGAATGAAATTCTTCCTCAGAAGAAACAGAGTCTGGTGTCTACTTCCAGAAATATGTGAATTCTTCCCTCAGGAAATCCACAAATCCTTAGGTTTTCCCTCAGGAGAAGCAGAGCCTGTTGTCTACTTCCAGAAAAATGGGAATTTTTCCCTCACGGAATCCACAAATCCCACAGCACATCCAGGTTTCCCTCCTGCACCAGCCTCAGGAGCTGCCACGGCCGCTCCTGCTCTGCCATGGAGCCAGGCCTGAGGGGAAAGAGGTTAAAAAATTGGGATTTTGGGGATATTGTGGTTGGTCTGCAGGATTGAGATAAGCAGGAATGAGGTTCTCTCTCAGGAGAAGCAGAGCCTGGTGTCTACTTTGAGAAAAATGGGAATTTTTCCCTCAGGAAATCGACAAATCCTTAGGTTTTCCCTCAGGAGGAGAAGAGTCTGGTGTCTAGTTCCAGAAAAATGGGAATTTTTCCCTCAGGAAAGCCAAAAATACTTAGGTTTTCCCTGAGGAGAAACAGAGTCTGGTGCCTACTTCCAGAAAAATGGGAATTTTTCCCTTAGGAAAAAAAACCAAATCCCACAGCACATCCAGGTTTCCCTCCTGGACCAGTGTCAGGAGCCGCTGCAGCCGCTCCTGCTCCACCATGGAGCCAGGCCTGAGGGGAAAGAGGGAAACAAATGGGGATTTTAGGGGATATGCTGGTTGGATTGGGGTATTGGGATAAACTGAAATGAGGTTTTCTCTCAGGAGAAAGAGAGGCTGGTGTCTAGTTCCAGAGAAATGGGAATTTTTCCCTCAGGGAATTCACAAATCCCACAGCACATCCAGGTTTCCCTCCTGGACCAGCCTCAGGAGCCGATGTGGCCGCTCCTGCTCTGCCATGGAGCCGGGCCTGGGGGAAAAGAAGCAAAAAAATTGAGATTTGGGGGGATATTGTGGTTGGTTTAAGGGGTTAGGATAAGCAGGAATGAGGCTTTCCCTCAGGAGAAGCAGAGCCTGGTGCCTGCTTCCAGCAAAATGGGAATTTTTCCCTCAGGAAATCCATAAATCCTTAGGTTTTCCCTCAGGAGAAGCAGAGCCTGTTGTCTACTTCCAGAAAATGGGAATTTTTCCCTCAGGGAATCCACAAATCCCACAGCACATCCAGGTTTCCTTCCTTCACCAGCCTCAGGAGCTGCCACAGCCTCTCCTCCTCCACCATGGAGCCAGGCCTGAGGGGAAAGAGGTAAAAAATTGGGATTTTTGGGGATATTGTGGTTGGTCTGCAGGATTGAGATAAGCAGGAATGATGTTCTCTCTCAGGAGAAGCAGAGCCTGGTATCTACTTCCAGAAAAATGGGAATTTTTCCCTCAGGAAATTCACAAATTTCACAGCACATCCAGGTTTCCCTCCTGGACCAGCCTCAGGAGCCACCACAGCCTCTCCTGCTCTGCCATGGAGCCGGGCCTGAGGGGAAAGAGGTTAAAAAATTGAGATTTGGGGGGATATTTTGCTTGGTTTAGGGGGTTGGGATAAGCATTAATGGGGCTTTTCTTCAGGAAAAACAGAGCCTGGTGTCTACTCCCAGAAAAATGGGAATTTTTCCCTCAGGGCATCCCCGAACCAGCCTCTCCCTCAGGATGAACAGGAATTTCTTTCTCTCTCAGAATAAAGAAAAAGTTTCTTTCTCCCTCAGGATAATTAAAAATTTCCCTTCAGAAAACCAGGATTTGCCCTCTCCTTCAGAAAAATCAGGAATTTTCCTCTCCCCTTGAAATTCAGGAAGTAATCACCCCTCAGTAAATGGAAAAATTCCATTTTTCCTTGGGAAAATTAGGATCTTGTCTCTCCCTCTAGAAAAAAGGATTTTATTTTCCTTAGGAATACCAGGATCTGACCTTTCCCTTAGGAAAAACAGAAATTCCCTTTTCCCTCAGGAAAACCAGAAGCTTCTTTTTCCATCAGGATGCCCAAATGTTTCCCCTGGAAAAGCAGAAATTCCATTTTCACTCTGGAAAAGCAGAATTCAGCTTTTCCCTCAGGAAAACAGGTCTCTCCTTTAGGCAAAATAAATTCTTTTTTTTTTTTTTTCCCCTTTGGAAAAGCAGCAACCAGAGTATCACACAGCAAATCCTGAAATTCCCATTTTCCTCAGGAAAAAATGGACAATTCCTTTTGATTCAGGAAAACCAGGACCTTCCTCCAAAAAACCTGGAATTCCCTCTTCCTTTTGGAAAGCCAGGAACTTCCTTTTTCCTTGGGAAAACAGGGAAAAACATCCACCAGGAAAAACAGAATTTTGCTTTTTCATATGTAAAACCAGGAATTTCCATCTTCCCTCAGGAAAATCACAAACCAGCTTCTCCCTCTGGTAATGCAGAAATTCCCATTCCCTCTGGGAAAACTCCAAAATTCCTGTTCCTCTTAGGAAAGCCAGAAGCCAGCTGAAAATTCATTTATTTTCCTTTTGACTCAGGAAAACGTGAAATTCCCTTTTTCCTCTGGAAAAAGAATAATTTCCTTTTCCCTACGGACAGCGAGACACCGACCCCTCCTCCAGGAAAAGCAGCAATTCCCTTTTCCCTCCAAAACGAAGGGGAAATTCCCTTTTTCCTCAGGAAAAAAAGCCCAGAAATTCCCTTTTTCCTCAGGAAAAAAGCACAGAAATTCCATTTTTCCTTAGGAAAACCAGAAAGTCCCCTTTTTTGCTCAGGAAAAAAACCCAGAAATTCCCCTTTTTCTGAGGAAAACCAGAAATTCTCTTTTTCCACAGGAAAAAAGCACAGAAATTCCCTTTTTCCTTAGGAAAACCAGAAATTCCCTTTTTCTTCAGGAAAAAAGCACAGAAATCCCAGTTTTCCTCAGGAAAACCAGAAAATTCCCTTTTTTTTTTCTCAGGAAAAAAGCCCAGAAATTCCCCTTTTTCTGAGGAAAACCAGAAATTCCCTTTTTCCACAGGAAAAAAGCACAGAAATTCCCTTTTTCCTTAGGAAAACCAGAAATTCCCTTTTTCTTCAGGAAAAAAGTACAGAAATCCCAGTTTTCCTCAGGAAAACCAGAAAATTCCCTTTTTTTTCTCAGGAAAAAAGCCCAGAAATTCCCTTTTTCCACAGGAAAAAAACCCAGAAATTCCCTTATTCCTCAGGAAAAAAGGCCAGAAAATCCCATTCTCCTCAGGAAAAAAGCCCAGAAATTCCCATTTTCCTCAGGAAAAAGCCCCGAAATTCCCTTTTTCCTCAGGAAAACCAGGAATTCCTGTTCCTTTCGCGGCTCCCAGGAAGGGGCCGCTCCCTCTGGCCGGGATCCCTCCCCTTATCCCCTCCCCAGCTCATCCCGAGCCGCGCAATTCCCGCGGGAAAATTCCCGGTTTTTCCAACCCACCCGCGCGCCGCGGAGCGCTCGTGATGTCACGCGCGGCGGGATGACGTCACAACCGCGGGAAATGCAAACAAGCCCCGCCCAACACGGAAGTGCCGAGCGCTTTTCTGGCTTCTGATTGGACAGCGGGGAGGGGGCGGGGCCGGAGGAGTGCGCGGGGCCGCGAGCGCCGGGAGCGGGTGAGGCTGGGGGAGGAGGGCGCGACCATTTGTGCGCAACGTGGGGGGGGGCAGGGAGGGAATTTCCTTGGAAATTAGGTTTCTTTGGGAATGTGGAGACCCTTAGGTATCCTTGGGATTGAGGGATTAGCCCTTGGCAAAGGCGCGGGATTGATTTTCAAAGGGTTTTTGGCACTGCAGGGAACCTTTGGCTTTGAGGGGAGCTTGGGAGCGGAGGCTCCTTTGGCGTTGGGGCGCCGTTGGAAATGGGGGAATCCTTGGAATTGAGGGGTTTGGGAATGAGGGGGTCCTTGGAAACCAGGGGGGACTTGAGAATGGGGGGATCCTTGGGATTTTAGGGTTTGCCCAAGGGGTTATGGGGTGGGGGAGTGAGCAGGGAGGATCTTGGCTGAGGAGGGGTTAAAAGGGAATTCCTTGGGAATCCTTGGAATTGGGGGATTGGCACTGAGGGGCCTTTGGGAATGGGGGAATCCTTGGGACTTGAGGGGATCCTTGGGAATGGGGGAATCCTTGGAATTGGGGGATTGGCAGTGAAGGGGACCCTTAGGAATGGGGGAATCCTTGGGACTTGAGGGGATCCTTGGGAATGAGGGAATCCTTGGGATTTGAGGGGACCCTTGGGAATAAGGGAATCCTTGGAATTGGGGGATTGGCAGTGAGGGGGTTCTGGGAATGGGGGAATCCTTGGGACTTGAGGGGACCCTTGGGAACGAGGGAATCCTTGGAATTTTAGGGTTTTCCCAAGGGGTAATGGGATTGGGGATTGAGCAGGGAGGATCTTGGCTGAGGAGGGGTTAAAAGGGAATTCCTTGGGAATGAGGGAATCCTTGGAATTGGGGAATTGGCACTGAGGGGCCTTTGGGAATGGGGGGGCTTGGAATTTAGGAGACCCTCTGGATGAGGTGGGTGCATCCATGTGGGAAAAGGCTTTGGAAAGGAGGTTCTGGGGGGAAAACGGAGAGCAGCTCCAGCTTTCTCCCAAATATTTCTCCTCCCTCTGGAGCTTTCCCCTCCATCCTCTGATCCTTTGATTTCCCAGCTGGAATCTCTCCTGGCTGCCATTGGAAGCCACACGGGAAATCTTGGGAAAATGGGAAAAATAAGGATGGAGGTGAAGGCTGAGCGAGAAATTCCATTTATTTAGTAGAATCCTGGGATGATTGTGTTTGGGAAAAAAATCATTAAATCATCAAATCCAGCCCCAAATTCCCTCAGCACATTCCTAAAAGCCACGGGAGTTTCTTGGTTTGGGATTTTTCCCTTTTATTTGCCTCGTTTCCCGTATTTTGAGGAAATGGGGATGTTGGAAAACAGCCTCCCCAGGGAGCTGAGTGGTTTTAACCCTGCTGAGCTGAAAAGGAGGAAGCAGCACATCCATAAAATCATCCAGGTTAGGGGAAAAAAACCCGAAAATCATCCCATCCAAACATTATCCCAAGGAATAACCAGGCTGATGCTTGGATCCTGCCCTAAAAGGAAAATTCAGCATTTTTTTTGGGGGGGCTGCTGCAGATGAGTTAAAGAGAAATAAATAAATTAAAGGAAGCAAAAGTGAAACTGCTGATGCTGGCAGGAGGGAGCTCAGCCGTTCTTGCTGGATTTGGGTTTTTTTGGTGGAAAAAAATTGCATTTTCTGGAATTTTTCTGTGGCCAGAAAAGAGGAGTTTGTACCCATTCCGAGTAAGGTTTGGTTGTTTTTTGGGAATAATTCCCAGGATGATTTTTTTGAACTGCAAATGGGTTAAATTTGCTCTGCTAAAGGATGATCCCAGTTTGGAAAGGCTCAGTTTGGGTGGTTGAAATTAAGAGTTTAATAAGGGATGAAAAGATTCCATAAATTCCAAGAAAAAGAGTTCTCGTCAACCATTTCCTCTCTGGGAAAGCAAGTTTGTAATTTCATTTAGTTTCATTTCATTTTTTAAATTTCATTTTTATTTTTATTTCATTCTGGTTTATTTTATTTTGTTTCTTTTATATATATATATATATATATATGTGTATATATATATCTTGCCAAAACCACACCATTACCTTAAAAGAATTTTCTTCTATATTTTTTATTACATTGGTTAAACGCATATTTCTGAGGATTATATATATTTCAATATTATATATATATATATAATATGTACTTAAATAAAAACATCCAACTGAATTATTTGAATTAAAATTTGGATTTTATTTAAATTTAATTACATAGTTCCTATTTTAAGATTATGTGAAAACCTAAACTATAACATGTTTATTTGGTTACTATTTATATAAGATAAATGGTGTGTATGACAGCTGACAGATTCTCTTCTATCGAAAAAGTAGATAAAAGGGATTATAAATAATTTTATATTAAAATTTTTGTGATTAATAATAACTTGTAAAAGCCAATACATAAATGTGGAAGTCAGTAACTATATTATAAAGTTATTATATTGTATAGATACAATATATGATATATTATTACATAAAATATTACATATTCTATAGGCTTGTATTATTGTAATTTCATATTTTATTATATTATGTGATATTATATGATATTACATTATATTATATTATATTACCTTATATTACTGTAATGTATTATAATACATTAATATTTTGATAATATAATATAATAATATTATACATTGAAAATAAAATATAATAATATAATACTTTATAATTATTATTTTAAAAATATAATAATGTTTTATATTATTACTAAACTTATACTAATATTATTCTAGTGTAATATAATTTAGATGCTAAAATAATTATATAATAATTATATTTCTAGTGTAATAAATTATACTTTATATTATATTATATTACATTAGATTTATAATATATAATATATACAATTTAATATATATAATACAATGTAATATATAATACAATACAGTATCATATAATGTAATATAATTAATATCATATAGGGTTAGATAATATAATATGATATAATATGATACAATATGATACAATATGATACAATATAATATAATATAATATAATATAATATAATATAATATAATATAATATAATATAATATAATATAATATAATATAATATAGTAATATAATTAATATAATATAATATATTATAATATAATATATTATATAAATACATTATTTATATAATGTATTATATTCTATTAAGGAAGCAAAAGGAGGTTCTTGTGGGAAAACAGGGATATAATATATAATAATATATTATAAATATAAATAATATAACAACATAATACTATATTATTTATATAATTTATTATTTATATTATATTA